TCCAAAGCTACACAGAGAAACCCTGTCTCAAAAAAAAAAAAAAAGAAAATTAAAAACAAAAACCAAAGAAACTTCATGTTTCCATATTACAGATTATTAGATAATTTAAAAATCATATAGCCTTTTTGTTTGTTTTGGTTAGTTGATCAAAACAGGACCTCATTTTCCAAAGTTTAGCATAGGCTCACGATATTGCCAAGGATGACCTTGAACTCCTGACTGTCCTGCCTCCATTCCCTGAGTGCTGGGACTGCTGGTGTATGCTACCACTCCAGCCACATTTTTGTTATTTGTAACTGTAACATCTTCATAAGTTCCTTAAGGACAAAGGCCAGCTTCCTGTTTAGCTGCTCATGTGAAATTATGTACTACACAAAGCCCTGATTCTTACTTTGTTAACTTTGTACTTTTTACCAGGTTTTAAATTGAATCCCTTCATTTGCATGTTAGTTGATTTAAGGTAGAAAGCTTTTTTTTAAGATTTAAATCTGATTACAGAATTATTAATAGTGGTTATTCCTTTAAGGGTTCTTTCAGATGTTCATTTGATTTCAAGAAATTTATAAATTTTGAAAAGGTGTGTCTTTTTGCCCTGTGGCTTGATTGTATGTTTCAAAGTCCCTTGAGTCTTACAAACCTTCCTCCATGGGTATGTCTTCTCCCAGGGCTCTCATTTCTTTATGTCCAAAAATGATATCCATAAATCCACTCCAGAAGGAATGCCTAAGGATAAATTTCTAAAAAGAAAAAAACTAAATTTTAAATTTCATGTTGAAGTTCTAACTTATTTGGCCCACCCGACTTTCTGGATAAAATCAGAGGAAAAGGTATGGGAATTCCCCTGCATTTTCCCCATCTCTCACGCCAGGAAATGTTTCACTATCCATCTTATTGAAACCAATAGACACTCAAAATAAATATTTTGTTTCCAGCAAGGTCAATAACCCCTTTCACTTCCCATATTAGGAACCAGTACTGCCCGTGGAGATTAATTGAAATGACATTTATATATAATCCCAAGGATAGTTTGGATTATTGTAATTTAAAGTTTGAGTTTTGTACTAAAATAGATATAACTGTTCTTTTAAATATGTAAGGGCTGGAGAGATGGCTCAGAGGTTAAGAGCATTGACTGCTCTCCCAGAGGTCCTGAGTTCAATTCCCAGCAACCACATGATGGCTCACAACCATCCACTATGAGATCTGGTGCCCTTTTCTGGTGTGCAGATATACATGGAAGCAGAATGCAGAATGTTGTATACATAATAAATAAATAAAATCTTAAAAAATATGTTAATTAAGAGCTAGAGACATTGCTCATGGTAGAGAACCCGCTTTGTATACAGGAGGCTATTCGGTTTGATTCCCAACATCATCAAAACTCTGTGTGTGTGTGTGTGTGTGTGTATTTACAAGCCTGTGCACGTTTGAGTGTAAGATGAGTGTCTCTCTGTATGTGAGTGTCTGTGTAAGAAAAATTTTAAAAGGGGAGGAAAACCTCAGAATAAATTTTGACTGGCACTCTCCAAGCCTTCCTTTCTCAGATTCACTGTGAGATCCCGTCTTCATTCCCATGATTCTTTTTTTTTTTCACTTTTTTAATTTAAATGAGAAACAATCTTATTTTACATATCAATCCCAGTTCCCCTCTCCCTCCCATCCTCCCATGACACCCACCAACCTCCCATCCCATCCCCCTGCTGCCTCTCCAGAGAGGGTGAGGCCTTCCCTGGGGGGAAATCATCAAAGTCACATCATTTGGGGCAGGGTCTAGGCCCTCCCCGTTTCTACACTGAAAGAGTATCTCTCTATGTGGAATGGGCTCCCAAAGTCCATTAGTACTCTAGGGATAAATACTGTTCCACTACCAGAGGCCCCATAGACTGCCCAGACCTCCAAACTGTCACCCACGTCAGGGAGCCCGGTTCAGTCCTTTGCTGGTTTCCCAGCTGTCAGTCTGGGGTCCATGAGCTCCCCCTTGTTCAGATCAGCTGCTTCTGTGGGTTTCCCCAGCCTTGTCTTGACCCCTTTGCTCATCACTCCTCCCTCTCTGCAGCTGGATTTTAGTTCACTGTTTAGCTGTGGGTCTCTGCTTTTGCTAGACAAAGGCTTTAGGATGGCATATAAGGTAGTCATCCATCTCATTATCAGGGGAGGGCTTTTGAGGCAACCTCTCAACTATTGCTTATAATCTTAGTTGGGGTCATCCTTGTAGATCTCTGGACCTTTCCCTAGTGCCAGATTTCTCTTTAAACCTATAATGGTCCCTTCTATTATGGTACCTCTTTTCTTACTTTCTTCTATTCTTCCCTCTACTCAATCTTCCTGCTCCCTCATGTCCTCCTCTCCCCTCCTCTTCTCCCCTTCTCATTCTCTTAGCTCCCTCTCCCCTCCCCCCACGTTCCCCATTTCGTCAGGAGATCTTGTCCCTTTCCCCTTCTCCAGGGGACCATGTGTGTCTCTCTTAGGGTCCTCCTTGTTTCCTAGCTTCTCTGGTGGGGTGGATTGTAGGTTGTTACTCCTTTGCTCTATGTCTAAAATCCACATATGAGTGAGTACATACCATGTTTGTCTTTTTGTGACTGGGTTACCTCACTCAGGATGGTTTCTTCTAGTTCCATCCACCCATGATTCTTTTTGCTAATATCTTTTTTGTATATTTTATGCTTTTATTGGCTTACATTAATTACATATATCATACATTGAGCCTCACTGTGACATCCATGTGTTTTGATCATTGCTCACCTCCGTCACCTCCTCTTGCCTCCCTCCCGCTTCCACTGATCCCCTTCATTGTCTCATCTAGTTACTTTCAGCTCATCATTTCCTTTCTCATCTATTGTTTTAATCCTTTCCTGATCTCTTTTTCACATGTGTATAAGCGTGTGCCACAGTGCTTACATGAAGGTCAGAGGACAACTGCATGAAGTCTGTTCTGTTCCCCTACCACATGGCTCCCAGAAATCAAACTTGTGTTGTCAAGCTTGGCACAGGCTCTTTACCCATTCAGACAACTTAGCCAACCAATGTCTTTGTTTTTGGTTGTTTTGTTTTCTGGTTTTTGCTTTACAGAGACATGGGCACCTTCCCAGTGCCTACACCACTGGGAAAGAAAAAAGAAATGTCTCTTTCTCCCCCAGTAACCACTAACTGCCTTTAGATCCTGAAGAAGAGACTCTTGTGAGTCTCAAGTTCTTCCACAGCAGGCTCAATGGGCCCATATAATGCAGATCATCTGCAGGTAATCATATCTTCTGTGACTTCAGGAGTGCAAGTGTGCAGCGGGGTGCACCTTTAACCCCAGCATTCTGGAGACAGAGGCAGGAGGATCTCCCTGAGTTCAAGGCCAGCCTGATCTACACAGAGACTTCCAGGACAGGCCCCACATGTACAGAGAAATCCTCTTCTTGAATACACCCCCCAAAAAAGAAAGAAAGGAAGAAAGAAAGGAAGAAAGAAAGAAAGAAAGAAAGAAAGAAAACGGTATGGAAGAAGTGTGATGGTAAAGAAGCATGACCACTTGCTTCTCTCATAAAGGAGAAAATTCTCATTCCAAGAACCTAAACCTAATGGCTCACACTGCTTATGATTTCAGTTTGTGGAGCTCTGATGCCTTCTTTTGGTTTCCATGGGCATCTGCACACAGGCGGTATACACACACACACACACACACACACACACACACACACACACACACGGTTAAAAATAAAGCAAATCCATTTTTTAAAGTTATTTGTGAAACTAGAAGATTTAAAATAGATATGTATAAGCACATACATAAAAGTATATAGAGAAGAAAACAGACAAGCAAGCACTCAGCAGGTACAGAAGAAGAGTTTGATTCTCTTCTTGGAGTTGTACATCAGAGACAGTGTAAAAGCAGAAACCTGG